GTCGGAAGGCGAATGCAACTGTGCTGAGTAGGAATGAGGAAAGATGTGGACAGACTGAGGACGGGAATAGAGCGTCAAGTGGTCCACGAGCACAGAGGCATATGGATAGTGGAGTTAAGTTGTTTGAGATGTCAGGAGTTGACATGTTTCACAGAAAACGTGGAGGAGAGATAGTGAAGAAGAGTAATAGCCGAGAAAATGAAAGGAGAAGAGACAGTATGTGTGGAGAGATGCTTACGAGCACTCTAGGAGAGGTAAAGCGACATGTACGGTCGAGTGCTGTTGGATGTAGTACAGTGCTCGAAGAAACTTTTAGGGAACGAAGAAGAGTTGAAGGAGAAGAAATGGAGTTGTATAGAGGTGAGAAGTGTGGGAAGAGGATGATGATGCAAGCATGGAGGAATAGAAGAAAGCCGAGGACTCGATGGAAGTCAAACAGGATGAGGTCTCGGATAAATGAGGAGACGAAAGGGAGGAGCGTCGGTGAAGACGATGGAGTGAAGTATGATGACAGGAGACGAAAGTATAATGGCAGTAGATGGAAGTGTGAAGACGACAGAGGAGGTACAGACAGTAGATGTCTGACTCTGGACGTGAAGAGAAGACGAGGAAACGGAGGGTGGAGACAATAAGTAGAGTGGACCGATGGATTGCAGGCGTCCAAGGAGGACAGCCTAGCCAAGAGGTGCCAGAGAAGTCAGATCGTTTATGAGAAGATCATGTTTCTGGAGAGTTGTGAGCCAGATGTTGCAAGGAGCAACGAACTAATTGTAGACTCCTAAGAGAGTATATGGGTGAAGAACGAGACAGTGTGGTGGCGGATGTATTATCCCGAGCCTAGCCACTGGAATAACTCTCAAAAATAAGGGGAGGGGAGTGTTATGATCTCAGCCTACAGGAGAAACGAGTCTCCCTCCTTGAGAGTTATTCAGCAAGCCTGACCTAACTAGAAGGTCTAGCAAATATTGAGGTGATAACGCATATGTAAAATAGTTGCTTGGATATGTGTAACAGTTTGAGATTATGGGCAATGCAGAAGAAAATAGATAAATGACGGGCTAGGAGATGTGGACATTTTGCTGGAGGCGTGAGGCTCGCTTCTGGAGGACCTTGACCTCACTTGAGTGCCAGACATCGCAGGGGGAAGCCGCGCTCCGTTTGAGCTCCCGCCAGAAGGGAACCCCTAGTGATATATCTCGAAGAGAAGAGAAGTGTGCGGACGTACCAGCTGTGGAATCGAGCTGGGAACGTTGTGGTCTCAAGTCCTGGTCGACGAGCAGATATTAAATCGCCCAGAAGCATTATTGTGGGCTGTGTGGAGCGCCCTGACCAGACGCCGTCAGAGGAAAAGCGCCCTCGACCAATTAATCTGTGGTAAGCACGATATACGCCAGTTCATAGTGATTGCTTGTAGTTGGTCGTGTGCCCAGCGACAGTAGCGATGTTTATTTATAAGTTAGACATGTTTTAATAAGGCAGAAAGCCTGAAATAAGAGAGTGGAGAGGGAGGAACACGGAGCGACGTCCGTCCTCTCTGAGCTCTGGCGGACGACTGAGGGAGCCTGGCTCCGGATGGAGGAAGACCCTCCCAGCGAGTGAGGACGCCGCCGCCAGGCGAGGTGGAGTATGGACCCGCCCAAAACGGGGGAGTCCACTCTCACTGTATGTAGAGAACAGATAGAGGTTTGAGGCAAGCATATTGTGTGGTTATTTTTGTTTATGTGTTAAAGGGGAACATTTTATTGGAACGTCGATGGGTTGCAGGTTTGTCTTTGGGGAAGAAGTTGCTGAGAACTTCGAAGCCAGCAGATGATGTAGCTGATGAGACTCCAAGGTTGGGGAGCAGAGGACCTCGAGCTGTGAGGAGAAGCAGCAGTGCAGAGGAGTGTCACGTGCTTCTGTAGAGGCGGTGCAGCAGCCAAGAGAGCTGTGGAAGAACCTAACAGAAGGGTGAAGCACCGTAGTTGCACAAGGAAACTTCATGATAGCAGCCTGGAGGAGCTGCAGAGGATCCTGGTAGTGAAGCCCGGAAGAACCTAAGGATATTAGGGTTGTGAACTTCCAGAGGTGGAAGGGGAAGTTCTGGTGGATTACTAGTAGGGAGTTGATAGTGTTTGGTTGTCATTAGCGTGCAAGACGCAGTGAGAGGTGAGTGACTGTTGGCATTCTTATGTCAAGGAGTTTTTATACTGAAGTATCAATGAACATTTATACTGGTATATGTTATTGCATTCAAATGCTGATTTTCTATATATACATTATCTTGCTGATAGTGCAACAGTGTATGTAGGCTTGACCAACTTGAGGAGGTTAATGGTATCAGGTGGCGAACCAGGAGATAGGATACCCCTTGATAAGCTGATAATAGAGTTCTGATGGTGTTGGAGTGCAACCTGATTGTGATATTATAGAGTATAGGATTCATTATTATTATATGTGTGTATGTATCGTGTATGTGCTTTGTCAAGTAAATGTGTCACAATTTGCTGGTGTTTGCCCTTGTCCTAGTGAGGCTTCCCAGGAGGTAGTAAAGAAGGAGAGAGAAAGAACCAAGAACCACTGCTGTGGACAGGGTAGAAGGTAATATTAATAAGTCAAAGGGGGATCGAGGAGATCATATCACCTAAGGAGAGAGTGGGGAGTCACAGCGGCTCGAGTGGGTGTGTGCACGTGACAACGAGGCTAAGTGTTGGAGCCGCATCCCCTAAGCGTGTGACGTTGAGCCCCTCTCCAAGAGCCAGAAGCGCCAAGGGTGATCTCCTAGTATAAGCACTCTGCCGAGTTGTGGGTTGGGTTGTCCATAGAGAAGGATCGACGACGACAACACCAACCAACCCACGAGTCTATAATACTCCCACCACTGTGGCTGACGAGCCGGCTGCCTGTCCCACCACTGTGGCTGACGAGCCGGCTGCCTGTCCCACCAGTGTGGCTGACGGGCCGGCTGCCTGTCCCACCAGTGTGGCTGACGAGCCGGCTGCCTGTCCCACCACTGTGGCTGACGAGCCGGCTGCCTGTCCCACCACTGTGGCTGACGAGCCGGCTGCCTGTCCCACCAGTGTGGCTGACGGGCCGGCTGCCTGTCCCCTCAGTGTGGCTGACGAGCCGGCTGCCTGTCCCACCACTGTGGCTGACGAGCCGGCTGCCTGTACCACCACTGTGGCTGACGAGCCGGCTGCCTGTCCCACCACTGTGGCTGACGAGCCGGCTGCCTGTCCCACCACTGTGGCTGACGAGCCGGCTGCCTGTCCCACCACTGTGGCTGACGAGCCGGCTGCCTGTCCCACCACTGTGGCTGACGAGCCGGCTGCCTGTCCCACCAGTGTGGCTGACGAGCCGGCTGCCTGTCCCACCACTGTGGCTGACGAGCCGGCTGCCTGTCCCACCACTGTGGCTGACGAGCCGGCTGCCTGTCCCACCACTGTGGCTGACGGGCCGGCTGCCTGTCCCACCACTGTGGCTGACGGGCCGGGTGCCTCTCCCACCACTGTGGCTGACGGGCCGGCTGCCTGTCCAACCAGTGTGGCTGACGGGCCGAGGCTGGAGGTCAGTCTGCTCCGAACATTTGAGCGTTTGACTATTTAAAGACTTGTAAGCCCAAGCGACACACGTTTACACAACGACAATCATTCTGGAGCGCTAAACTGGTAAACAATACGAGTGTGTTGTGTAGTGCGAGAGGCAGTTACTACTGTGTTACAGTGGTCGGTGTGAGACACTCAACACCACTCGTTATGGCTGCTTCTGGAATGAACACTAAATGATCTGGAGCCTGAAGGAGCAGCGGGAATAATTATGTATGACATACTGTAGTATTACCTCCAGCCGTGTGTGAGTACTGAGGCAAGTGGCCGTACTCACTGTGGTAGACGTGCTCACTGTGGTAGACGTGCTCACTGTGGTAGACGTGCTCACTGTGGTAGACGTACTCACTGTGGTAGACGTCCAACCCCACTCCACCCTCCCCCACGACGCCGCTCCCACTCCACCCTCCCCCACGACGCCACTCCCACTCCACCCTCCCCCACGACGCCACCCCCACTCCACCCTCCCCCACGACGCCACCCCCACTCCACCCTCCCCCACGACGCCACCCCCTCTCCACCCTCCCCCACGACGCCACCCCCTCTCCACCCTCCCCCACGACGCCACCCCCACTCCACCCTCCCCCACGACGCCACCCCCTCTCCACCCTCCCCCACGACGCCACCCCCTCTCCACCCTCCCCCACGACGCCACCCCCTCTCCACCCTCCCCCACGACGCCACTCCCACTCCACCCTCCCCCACGACGCCACCCCCACTCCACCCTCCCCCACGACGCCACCCCCTCTCCACCCTCCCCCACGACGCCACTCCCACTCCACCCTCCCCCACGACGCCACCCCCACTCCACCCTCCCCCACGACGCCACCCCCTCTCCACCCTCCCCACGACGCCACCCCCTCTCCACCCTCCCCCACGACGCCACCCCCCTCTCCACCCTCCCCCACGACGCCACCCCCTCTCCACCCTCCCCCACGACGCCACCCCCTCTCCACCCTCCCCCCACGACGCCACCCCCTCTCCACCCTCCCCCACGACGCCACCCCCTCTCCACCCTCCCCCACGACGCCACCCCCTCTCCACCCTCCCCCACGACGCCACCCCCTCTCCACCCTCCCCCACGACGCCACCCCCTCTCCACCCTCCCCCACGACGCCACCCCCTCTCCACCCTCCCCCACTACGCCACCCCCTCTCCACCCTCCCCCACGACGCCACCCCCTCTCCACCCTCCCCCACGACGCCACCCCCTCTCCACCCTCCCCCACTACGCCACCGTCCCTCCAACAGCTGTAAGGTAACGTTGGGTATTAACTAAGCCTCATTGACTGCCGTCACCATCGGGTGAAAGCTTCCAGACCGGTGAGAGAGCCAGCCAGCGAATTCATAGCTACAGTTTCCCAGTTGGAGAGAGACGAGCTCATCGCCTTGATGAGCTCCTCATCGACCTCACAGCTCACTCCTCATTGCGTAGAAGAGGTGATGTCACCTGCATCAAAGTACAGGTGTAGGTGGAAGCGGGTGTAGGTGGGGGGGTGTCGGTGGGGTGGGTGTAGGTGGGGGCGGGTGTAGGTGGGGCGGGTGTCGGTGGGGGCGGGTGTCGGTGGGGGCGGGTGTAGGTGGAAGCGGGTGTAGGTGGGGGCGGGTGTCGGTGGAGGCGGGTGTCGGTGGGGGCGGGTGTCGGTGGGGGCGGGTGTCGGTGGAGGCGGGTGTCGGTGGAGGCGGGTGTCGGTGGAGGCGGGTGTAGGTGGGGGCGGGTGTGTAGGTGGAAGCGGGTGTAGGTGGGGGCGGTGTCGGAGGGGGCGGGTGTAGGTGGAAGCGGGTGTAGTGGGGGCGGGTGTCGGTGGGGGCGGGTGTCGGTGGGGGCGGGTGTCGGTGGAGGCGGGTGTCGGTGGAGGCGGTGTCGGTGGAGGCGGGGGTCGGTGGGGGCGGGTGTAGGTGGAGGCGGGTGTAGGTGGGGCCGGGTGTCGGTGGAGGCGGGTGTCGGTGGGGGCGGGTGTCGGTGGGGGCGGGTGTCGGTGGAGGCGGGTGTCGGTGGGGGCGGGTGTCGGTGGGGGCGGGTGTAGGTGGAGGCGGGTGTAGGTGGGGGCGGGTGTCGGTGGAGGCGGGTGTCAGTGGGGGCGGGTGTCGGTGGGGGCGGGTGTAGGTGGAGGCGGGTGTCGGTGGGGGGCGGGTGTCGGTGGGGGCGGGTGTAGGTGGAGGCGGGTGTACTCACCTAGTTGTACTCACCTAGTTTGTTTTGCGGGGGTTGAGCTCTGGCTCTTTGGTCCCGCCTCTCAACCGTCAATCAACAGGTGTACAGATTCATGAGCCTATCGGGCTCTGTCATATCTACACTTGAAACTGTGTATGGAGTCAGCCTCCACCACATCACTTCCTAATGCATTCCATTTGTCAACCACTCTGACACTAAAAAAGTTCTTTCTAATATCTCTGTGGCTCATTTGGGCACTCAGTTTCCACCTGTGTCCTCTAGTACGTGTGCCCCTTGTGTTAAATAGACTGTCTTTATCTACCCTATCAATCCCCTTCAGAATCTTGAATGTGGTGATCATGTCCCCCCTAACTCTTCTGTCTTCCAGCGAAGTGAGGTTTAATTCCCGTAGTCTCTCCTCGTAGCTCATACCTCTCAGCTCGGGTACTAGTCTGGTGGCAAACCTTTGAACCTTTTCCAGTTTAGTCTTATCCTTGACTAGATATGGACTCCATGCTGGGGCTGCATACTCCAGGATTGGCCTGACATATGTGGTATACAAAGTTCTGAATGATTCTTTACACAAGTTTCTGAATGCCGTTCGTATGTTGGCCAGCCTGGCATATGCCGCTGATGTTATCCGCTTGATATGTGCTGCAGGAGACAGGTCTGGCGTGATATCAACCCCCAAGTCTTTTTCCTTCTCTGACTCCTGAAGAATTTCCTCTCCCAGATGATACCTTGTATCTGGCCTCCTGCTCCCTACACCTATCTTCATTACATTACATTTGGTTGGGTTAAACTCTAACAACCATTTGTTCGACCATTCCTTCAGCTTGTCTAGGTCTTCTTGAAGCCTCAAACAGTCCTCTTCTGTTTTAATCCTTCTCATAATTTTAGCATCGTCCGCAAACATTGAGAGAAATGAATCGATACCCTCCGGGAGATCATTTACATATATCAGAAACAAGATAGGACCGAGTACAGAGCCCTGTGGGACTCCACTGGTGACTTCACGCCAATCGGAGGTCTCACCCCTCACCGTAACTCTCTGCTTCCTATTGCTTAGATACTCCCTTATCCACTGGAGCACCTTACCAGCTACACCTGCCTGTCTCTCCAGCTTATGTACCAGCCTCTTATGCGGTACTGTGTCAAAGGCTTTCCGACAATCCAAGAAAATGCAGTCCGCCCAGCCCTCTCTTTCTTGCTTAATCTGTGTCACCTGATCGTAGAATTCTATCAAGCCTGTAAGGCAAGATTTACCCTCCATGAATCCATGTTGGCGATTTGTCACGAAGTCCCTTCTCTCCAGATATGTTACCAGGTTTTTTCTCACGATCTTCTCCATCACCTTGCATGGTATACAAGTCAAGGACACTGGCCTGTAGTTCAGTGCCTCTTGTCTGTCGCCCTTTTTGTATATTGGGACCACATTCGCCGTCTTCCATATTTCTGGTAGATCTCCCGTCTCTAGTGACTTACTATACACTATGGAGAGTGGCAGGCAAAGTGCCTCTGCACACTCTTTCAGTACCCATGGTGAGATCCCATCTGGACCAACAGCCTTTCTAACATCCAGATCCAGCAGGTGTCTCTTGACCTCCTCTCTCGTAATTTCGAACTCCTCCAAGGCCGCCTGGTTTACCTCCCTTTCTCCTAGCACAGTGACCTCACCCTGTTCTATTGTGAAGACCTCCTGGAACCTCTTGTTGAGTTCCTCACACACCTCTCTGTCATTCTCTGTATACCTGTCCTCGCCTGTTCTAAGTTTCAATACCTGTTCTTTCACTGTTGTTTTCCTTCTGATGTGACTGTGGAGTAGCTTTGGTTCGGTCTTGGCTTTGTTTGCTATATCATTTTCAAAATTTTTCTCTGCTTCTCTTCTCACCCTGACGTACTCATTCCTGGTTCTCTGGTATCTCTCTCTGCTTTCTGGTGTTCTGTTATTCCGGAAGTTCCTCCACGCCTTTTTGTTCAGTTTCTTCGCTTCCATACATGCCCTATTATACCATGGATTCTTCTGTTGCTTCTCGGATTTTTCCCTTTGGGCCGGATGAACCTGTTTACTGCCTCCTGACACTTTTGGGTAACATAGTCCATCATACCCTGTACAGACTTGTCTCTGAGGTCTGTGTCCCAAGGTATTTCACTTAGGAAACTTCTCATCTGTTCATAATTCCCCTTTCGGTATGCCAGCCTTTTGATTCCTAGTTCTTTTGGGGGAGATAAGTCCTAGCTCTACCAGGTACTCAAAGTTCAATACACTGTGGTCACTCATTCCCAAGGGAGCTTCCATCTTAACTTCCCTTATATCCCATTCATTTAGGGTAAATGTAGGAGGGGGTGTAGGTGGGGGCGGTGTCGGTGGAGGCGGGTGTCAGTGGGGGCGGGTGTCGGTGGGGGCGGGTGTCGGTGGAGGCAGGTGTCGGTGGAAGCGGGTGTTGGTGGGGGCCGGGTGTCGGTGGAGGCGGGTGTCGGTGGGGGCGGGTGTCGTTGGGGGGCAGGTGTCGGTGGAGGCGGGTGTCGGTGGGAGCGGGTGTCGGTGGAGGCTTGTGTCGGTGGAAGCGGGTGTAGGTGGGGGCGGGTGTCGGTGGGGGGAGGTGGGTGTCGGTGGGGGCGGGTGTCGGTGGGAGCGTGTGTCGTTGGGGGGCGGGTGTCGGTGGAGGCGAGTGTCGGTGGAAGCGGGTGTTGGTGGGGCCGGGTGTCGGTTGAGGCGGGTGTCGGTGGGGGCGGGTGTCGTTGGGGGGCGGGTGTCGGGGGAGGCGGGTGTCGGTGGGAGCGGGTGTCGGTGGAGGCTTGTGTCGGTGGAAGCGGGTGTAGGTGGGGGCGGGTGGGGTGTCGGTGGAGGCGGGTGTCGGTGGAGGCGGGTGTCGGTGGAGGCGGGTGTCGGTGGGGAGCGGGTGTCGGTGGAGGCGGGTGTCGGTGGAGGTGGGTGTCGGTGGAGGCGGGTGTCGGTGGGGGCGGGTGTCGGTGGGGGCGGGTGTAGGTGGGGGCAGGTGTAGGTGCGGGCGGGTGTCGGTGGGGGGCGGGTGTCGGTGGAGGCGGGTGTAGGTGGAGGCGGGTGTCGGTGGAGCGAGTGTCGGTAAGGTGCGGGTGTCGGTGGAGGCGGGTGTCGGTGGGGGCGGGTGTCGGTGGAGGCGGGTGTAGGTGGAGGCGGGTGTAGGTGGAGGCGGTCAGTGTGTCGGTGGGGGGCGGGTGTCGGTGGGGGCGGGTGTCGGTGGGGGGCGGGTGTCGGTGGAGGCGGGTGTCGGTGGAGGCGGGTGTCGGTGGGGGCGGGTGTCGGTGGGGGCGGGTGTCGGTGGAGGCGGGTGTAGGTGGAGGCGGGTGGAGGTGGAGGCGGGTGTAGGTGGAGGCGGGTGTCGGTGGAGGCGGGTGTCGGTGGAGGCGGGTGTCGGTGGGGCGGGTGTCGGTGGGAGGCGGGTGTCGGTGGAGGCGGGTGTCGGTGGGAGTGGGTGTCGGTGGAGGCGGGTGTAGGTGGAGGCGGGTGTCGGTGGAGGCGGGTGTCGGTGGAGGGGTGTCGGGTGTCGGTGGGGGTGGGTGTCGGTGGAGGCGGGTGTAGGTGGAGGCGGGTGTCGGTGGGGGCGGGTGTCGGTGGGGGGCGGGTGTCGGTGGGGGCGGGGGGGTGTCGGTGGGGGGGTGTCGGGTGTCGGTGGGGTGTCGGGGGGGCGGGTGTCGGTGGGGGCGGGTGTCGGTGGGGGCGGGTGTCGGTGGGGGGCGGTGGAGGCGGGTGTCGGTGGGTGGAGGCGGGTGTAGGTGGAGGCGGGTGTCGGTGGAGGCGGGTGTAGGTGGAGGCGGGTGTAGGTGGAGGCGGGTGGTGGAGGCGGGTGTCGGTGGAGGCGGGTGTCGGTGGAGGCGGGTGTCGGTGGAGGCGGGTGTCGGTGGGAGCGGGTGTCGGTGGGGGCGGGTGTCGGTGGGGCGCGGGTGTCGGTGGGGGCGGGTGTAGGTGGAGGCGGGTGTCGGTGGAGGCGGGTGTCGGTGGGGGCGGGGTGTCGGTGGGGGCGGGTGTCGGTGGAGGCGGGTGTCGGTGGAGGCGGCGGGTGTCGGTGGGGGCGGGTGTCGGTGGGGGCGGGTGTAGGTGGAGGCGGGTGTCGGTGGAGGCGGGTGTCGGTGGAGGCGGGTGTCGGTGGAGGCGGGTGTCGGTGGAGGCGGGTGTCGGTGGGGGCGGGTGTCGGTGGAGGCGGGTGTCGGTGGAGGCGGGTGTCGGTGGGGGCGGGTGTCGGTGGAGGCGGGTGTCGGAGGAGGCGGGTGTAGGTGGAGGCGGGTGTCGGTGGAGGCGGGTGTCGGTGGAGGCGGGTGTCGGTGGAGGCGGGTGTCGGTGGGGGCGGGTGTCGGTGGAGGCGGGTGTCGGTGGGGGCGGGTGTCGGTGGGGGGCGGGTGTCGGTGGGGGCGGGTGTCGGTGGAGGCGGGTGTCGGTGGAGGCGGGTGTCGGTGGGGGCGGGTGTCGGTGGGGGCGGGTGTCGGTGGGGGCGGGTGTCGGTGGGGGCGGGTGTCGGTGGAGGCGGGTGTCGGGGGGTGGGTGTCGGTGGGAGGGGTGTAGTTGGCGGGGGTGTCGGTGGAGGCGGGTGTCGGTGGAGGCGGGTGTCGGTGGAGGCGGGTGTCGGTGGAGGCGGGTGTCGGTGGGGGCGGGTGTCGGTGGAGGCGGGTGTCGGAGGGCGGGTGTCGGTGGAGGCGGGTGTCGGTGGGGGCGGGTTTCGGTGGAGGCGGGTGAGGGAGGAGGCGGGTGTCGGTGGAGGCGGGTGTCGGTGGAGGCGGGTGTCGGTGGGGGCGGGTGTCGGTGGGGGGCGGGTGTCTTTGGGAGTGGGTGCCGGTTGAGGCAGGTGTAGGTGGAGGCGGGTGTCGGTGGGGGCGGGTGTAGGTGTAGGTGGGTGTAGGTGGAGGCGGGTGGGTGTAGGTGTAGGTGGGTGTAGGTGGAGGCGGGTGGGTGTAGGTGGGGGCGGGTGTCGGTGGGGGCGGGTGTCGGAGGACGCGCCGTCATCGCCACTTGAGTAATAGTTGCTGGTGACACCCATTAGTGAGCAGCGGCCGGCCTCTTCACTACAGCTGGGAACAACCAGCCATCCCTGGGGTGGGGGGGAACCTTTTTGTCCACGTTGGTGGGGCTGCTGGTAGTGGTCACCACCACCACAGTGGCCCCTAACAGGTGTGTGTGACAGATAAGACTAAGACCAGGTGTGTGCACCGTGGTACTGGCTAACGCTGCAACAGACGCCCTCGCGTCAACAAGAAGAGCGTATTACTGGAATGATGGCACAATACAGTTAGTACAAGTAGGACACAAGCGAGAGTCGGAGAGGAGGGGTCAGTAGATGGGGGGAATGGTATAGTTGTAGATTAACTATGGAAGATCTTGAGAGTTTGTATACACTCGCAGTCCAGCCTGGAGCGTTTAGTGGTGATCACATGGTCCCTGGGGTTATTTGTCATCGGAGTCAACATGGTCATCACAGTCAGGCTGAGGGGCCAGATTCACGAAGGTTTTTCTTCTTAGCTACGAATGTTTTCCTTCTTAGCGCCTTCGTGGCGGCTTCGTCGGTATTCAGGTAGCTACACTAAGTAGCTACCTTCGTAAGTTTGGTCCGGGATCTAAGTGTGGTGTCGACCACTCGTAGTTTTACGTAAACTGGATATAACTCAATTTTTCTCTACTACATAATACTGGGATCGATTTTAAGATTTTGGAACATGAATAAAATATTATAGCTGGCGAATCTCGTGAAGAAGAGTCCTTCGTGTTAGTTATATATGCATTCTCTGCTTGAAACTTAAAGTAAATATGTCTTTTATGGTAGTCGAATGTTTTATAATAGCAAGATATTATACCAGTAGTTATTAAGTAAATAAGCACTGGTGAACATGAAATATGAGAGGTGATGAGCCCTGCCTGATGGGGTCATTTACTATCACCAAATGCCCCTGTTCACCTAGTAGTAAGGGTGTACCTTAGCTATACATACCCATTTCTAATTTATTTAGTTTGGTTTTATTTTGAAATTAAATCTGGGCGAGACAAAATAAAAATATGCTGCACAAATGATGTTAGGTAAGGAGAAGGGTAAAAATGTCAAAAACTTTATTCATTGAATATTTAAAGGTATAATTATGACTATATAGACTATTAAAAAAAGAGAGAGGGAAGTAGGGGTCCAAGACCTCTTCCTGTTACACAATTTGGCTGTGTGTAACCAAACTAGAAGTGCTCTACAAATCAAGGGACCCAGAATGTGGAATGACCTCCCGAATCATGTCAATGGCTGTAACTCTCTCAACCAGTTTAAGAGTAAAACCAAGTACTGCCTAATTAACTCCATAAATGTCAACCCATGTCTTGCTATTTTTTAAACAATGCTGTTTGTTCACCAACGTGTACAATTGCTGATTTCTGCTATGTTACCCCCCCCCCTTTTTTTATTCTTTCTACACAATTTATACCTAATCCCGATTACTATTAAGTTTTAGTCTGTTTTTTCCCCCACACCTTGCCCGAAATGCTATGAGTATTAGTGGCTTTAGGTATTGTATGCACTAGCTCTATCTATAAATCTAACATTATGTTTGTAAATCAACTGTATGTTCTTTTCCTGAATAAAATTTATTTATTATTATTTATTTATTAATCAGTAAGTATTAAAAGAAGGCACCAAGCTGGGAAGGCTATGTAGCACCATTGTGTGTAACAATAAACCAAATTTTTTTTAACAAATAATGCACCTGTATGGTAAAACAAATCCTGTCAGCTGTAAAAATATTGATGCAGTTATTTAAATGAAAAATATAATGAAAGAAATATTACTGGTTTATTTTTATCCTGTCTTTTTGTACTGTACAGTATATCCAAGGAAGTGAAAAATTGAGACATAATGCACAATTTAATGAATGATTAGCATGGATTAGCAGTTCAAAAGAAATATGACTATTACATATCAGCATGAGATCTTAATGATACATGGTTAACATGATTTAATAAGGATAATACAGTACTTGTAATAATACAAACTATAATTTAAAATCTTTATTACTGATGTTTTTATTAAGAAGATTAGGTATACACAGCAATGTGCTGCTACCCTATTCTATATGGAATATTACACAGTGTAGATAAAAAACTAGCTGTAAGTTTATCTAATACTCCCATCTCACAGGATGGTTAGACATACATGGAATCAACATACTGTTTCAGGCCGCGCTTGCAGCGGCAAGGGAGAGAATGACTGAACTGAGGCAAAATGAATGGGAGGGTTTTGTTAGTGGACTTAACCTGCATACTCCCCTGGGCATAGCCTGGAAAGGCATAAACAAAATTATTGGCAAAAGAGTAGACAAGTTTCACACCCAAACCCGCTACAGAAAGCCAATCAGTTAATTACGAAATGGGCTCAGGTTTCCAGCATTGGAATGTTACCAGCTAGCACTAGGGAGAAATTGCAGGTGAGCTCCACAGACAGAAATGCTCTCATAAATTTCATGTTGAGCAAGCAACATGATGAATGTGATGTTCCATATACAGATTATGAATTGGATGCAGCCCTCTCCAGGGGCAGTAGCACTGCTCCTGGTGAGGACGGTATCACCTATGATATTCTAAGACTCCTACATCGTGTACCCGGTAACCCATTATTAGAATTGTTTAATGCCAGTTATGTCACTGGGCAGCTGCCAGTATCATGGACCACCAGTCTTACGGTACCTGTACCAAAGCCTGGCCAACCTGATGCTTTCCGTCCCATCTCACTGACCAGTTGCATGTGCAAAACCTTTGAGAGAATGGTGCTTAATAGATTATTGTATAGAGTTAAAGAGCACATGTCACCTGATATCAATGGTTTCACACATGGTAAAAGTGTACACAACTGTATCACAACCTTTCTTACTGTTCATGGAGATAAAAGGCACAAGTACACAACATTTCTTGATTAAAAAATGCCTTTGATATTGCTAATAGGGAAGTGATTATGTATAAATTAGCGAGAATGGATATAGGTGGACAATTATTACAATGGATACGGGGCTACCTTACCAACCGGAAGTCCTCTGCACTCTTCCAAGGCTACAAGAGTGAAACTAAATTAATGCAACTAGGCACCCCACAAGGGGGAGTACTCAGTCCTACCTTGTTTAATGTTCTAATTTAAATGCCTTACTAAAATCAATCCCAACTATTCCGGCAAACATCACTATCAGCTATGCAGATGACATCCTTGTGTATACTAAAACCCACCGCGAAATGCAGTCTTTGTATACATACAGCTTGTGAGAGCCTTGGTCTTGTAATCAACGCTGCTAAAACTAAGGTATTTAACAGACAAATTGGCAACCGCAAAAGTGGACCACGAAAACTTAAGATAGATAACATACCAATAGACTATGTCTCTTCTTTCAAATACCTTGGTGTTTCTGTCCCATGTACCTCAACTGCAGTCAATAAGTTACATCAACAATGTAGAGACAGGCTCAAGGCTCTCAGAACTGTAGTGGGGTACAGCCCTAAGTACGGTATTAATATTAGAATAGCAAAAATGATGTATTTAGCATATATAAGGTCTCTGATAGACTATCATGCACCAGCTTTGGTCCTACAAAATGGAAAACTATTGATAGACTGGAAAAAATGCAAAATGAAGCACTCAGAATTTTACTTGCCTGTCCTAGAACTACCAAAGTTCTCAACATATGGAAAGAATTTAATATACCTAGTATTCGAGATAGAATATTTGAAATTAATCTTATGATGGGACTAAAGCTTCTGCGTGATAACAAAAACAACATTGTGTCAGTTGAACTGTTAGAACACATACGAAATGGTACCAGCGAGTCTAAATGGATTCAAAGAACAGCAACTCATATTAAAATGATGGGACTGCACGATGTATATACAGATGAAAGAGTACAGCACTTCCTTCCACCCTGGAAGATAGTACCTTTTGACATCCTAACATCCTGACCCCTGCATACCCCAACAAGAAACTAATCACAAACAACCCTCATGCTCAGCGTGCTGCTAAATTAAGCACCATAGAACTCATTCACTATATACTAGCTGAAAACAACATAGCACAGACCATATACACTGACGGATCACTCAATACAGCCACAGGGAGGGCAGGAAGTGCTGTTGTTGCTCATCAGCCCGATGGCAGCACAATTCAAAGGAATATCCGAATTAGTAACTGGGCATCCACAATGCGAGTTTTTTTTTTTTTTTTTTTTTTTTTTACATGCAAGCATGCAAGATAAAGACAATAAATACAATAAAATATCAGAGAAACCAAAAACAAAATACAGAAGCTACCGGCCAGAAGGACCGACAGCACAGGACAATAATTAGCAAAAATGGAGGAACAGCATACATCAAGACAAATTAAAGAACAAAAACAATAACAAACAAGCAAATAATGTAAGCAAATAAACAAAAACAAACACCGGCCAGAAGGACGGACAACAAAACACATCAAAATTTAGAAAATGAAACATAACACAAGACAATGCACACACAAACAAATCAAAAATATAAACAAAAGGAAAATTAAAAAGAAAACACAATACAACAAGGTAATACATAAAGAGAATACACACATGCAAAACACCGGCCAATCAGCAACAAACAGGGAACAGGCCCGGCACATAACACAACGTTGCCCAAACATACAGCCTGAAGGCGCACACAGCATAAACAAAGAAACAAATGGTAAAGTCATTGAACATACCTCCCAACGCACATGGAACGCTTCCCAGAGCAACCACCGGGTCTAGGGTCTACACATCCACCGGGGACGCCATACGCCTCATCCGGAA